AAAACAATAAAACATAGAAATGAGGGCATAAAATTACACAAGTGCTATTCAATAAAAGTATATGAATCAAATTTTATATTTGGTAAAGACCTTCCTGAAATTTTTATGTAGCAAAAAAAAAAAGCTCAGATTTCACTAAATTGTCATTTGTCATTTTGAACTAATATTATTTGTTAAACAGTTTGTTCCTTTTAGCTAAATAAATAGTTTCATTTGGAAAGAAATTTAGATAGAAGTGAGGAGAAAGAAAAAGGAAGAGAGAGTTAGAGTGTGTGAGAGAGAGACAGAGAGAGGGGGGTATTCAAAGGAGAACATTGACTTTAAAAGCATGCAAATAAGTCAACAGTTTATTCTTTAAAGTGGAACTTTTTATGCTAATGATTCTTCTTGAGGTTCAAGTTAAAAATAACAGAAAATTTATAAATACTTATGAAGAGCAACTCCCTTTAATTTTCCCCTCCTTTGCCAAACAAGATATTCCTGAAGTAGTGGGGAGAAGTAAGATTAAAAATATATGAATAAGATACATGCACACAAAACTAAGAAATCTGTTTCTTCAAAAACATTTCCAAGCAAGATTGTGTATATATATATATACATATATATACATACATATATATACAATAAATATTTGTTTTTGGCATTTGAATATGCTGGCAAGCTCCCCATGGCATATTCAAAATGCCAAAAATAGTAACAATAATGAGTCTCATTCCCCTAACCCTGAAAGAGCCTCCAATATAGCACCATTGGGATGGATGAGTAAGGAGAGGCTGCTAAAATCCCAGGGCTCGGACAGATGAAGACATTACTGGCGGCCGCTCGAGCAAATTGATGAACAATGGGATGACAGTGATACAGTGATGGTTTATTTAATGCTGTAGTGCTAGTATTTACAATTTAAAATAAATCCTCTAGTGGTGTTAAACTTTATAGTATTTCTATACCAGGTTACTAGTTATTGTACCTACCATCATCAAAGTGTCAATGAGAAGTCAAAGAGATAATACAGTGGTAAGGCTCCTGCCTTGCTCATGCCTGACCCAGGTTTAATACTACTGCCAGTTATAGTCCCCAGAGCCCCTTTAGGAGTTACTGAACACAGAACCAGGAGTAAGCCCTGAGAACTAGTGAGTGTGGACAAAAATCCTAAAAAACAAACAGACCAAAAAAAGAAATTGAAAGCAAAGATGGAAACAGGTAAACAACAGCAAAAACAACCCCAAAGTGTCCATGACCCACTACCACTGTCCCTATGTCACCTGTGGTTTGATTGTCATTCTTCTCCCACTTTTCCCTCACTGTTTGCTAATTAGTTTTCTAATCAAATGCCAAAACCTTATCATTTTCTACTGCTATTTGCTTGTTCTGTTTCTCTCAACTACTCAATTTGTGACATCATTTGGTATTTGAAATTCTCTCTCTGATTTCATTTCCTTATTATGTTACCTTACAGTGCCATTTACATTGTAGTAATATGCATGCTTTGATATTTTCTTATAACTGTATAATATTTCATTGTATGTGTATATACACATACATACACATATACATACATATATATTTGTGTGCATATATACAAATACATATTTTTGTATACATATAGGAATATATGAATATACATCATTTGTCATATATACACAAATACCACAACTTTTTGAGCCATTCATCCGTCATTTGGACATTTCGGTTGTTTCTATAATTTGACTACTGTATAAGTGTAGACATAAGTGTAGATATGTTTATATCATTTTGATTGAATATTTTTGAGTTTTGAGAATAGATTCCAAAAAGTGAAATTGCACAACAGTTAATTCAAAGTGGACTAAAGACCTAGAGATTAACCCAGAATCTACAAAATACATAAAGGAAAACCTTACATAGGCAAAATCTTCAGCACATGGATTTCAGGTGTCTTCAGTGATTTGATTCTAGTGACAAAAACAAAAATATTAAAAATAAACAAATGAAAATCGATCACATTGAAAAGTTCTTGTATGCAAAAAAAATAACATCAACATCTCAGACTAATTAAGAGATATTTCATTAAATGGTAGAAAATCTTTGCATCCCATATATCAGATAAAGGACTTAAGTATAACACATATAAAACACTAAGATATCCACAACAAAAATGTGATAACCGGCCATCTTTACAACACACAGCCACAGAGAAGAAAGGCCGTGGGGGGCTCCACAGCTCCCGGAGAATGCTCCAGGTCCCAAAGAGAGCTGAGATCACTGGGAAGTCCCAGATGGGGTAGGTGCCGCATCCCGCCTCCTCCAGATGGAACCCCGGCGACCATGAGCCTCTACAAGCACAGCTCGAGCATGTGGGAACAGGACTTTTACTCCAAACATCTCCTTATATATAAAGTGATCAATGGAAAGTAAATTATCCTACATTTCTCCCTGAAAATCAGGCTTAACTCTTTTACAGACCACAGCACCCAATAGGAAAGAGAGAACAAAAGGGAATGCCCTGCCACAGAGGCAAGGTGGGATGGGGGGAATGGGAAATGGGAGGGTTACTGGGATCTGTGCTGGTGGGAAATGGTTGCTGGTGGAGGGATGGGTATTCAAAATAAATAAATAAATTTTTTAAAAATGTGATAACCCCATCAAAAAGAGGGAGAGAAAATGGACAAATACTTCTCTAAAAAGGATATATGAACGGCCAGTAAGCATATAAGAAAATGTTTCATCACTCATCACTTGTTGTCAAGGAAATACAAATCAAAACAACAAGGAGACATCACCTTACACCAGTGAGAATGGCCTGGTTGTTTCCTTTTGTTGCTTTAGTGAAAAAGGGGCCTTTACTTACAGTTGGTGGGATTGTCTCTGATTCAGCCTCCATGGAAAATGGAATGTAGCTCAAAAAAGCGAAAATATTATAGTTCTAGGAGAAGACATAACTCAGTGTTTGGTACCTAAATGTGATTGAAATTCCTGGGTAAGCTCATTCCTGGGCTCTCTTTTGGGAGATTCTGCTTACCCTGATTTGAGGTAGTGGCTTGGCATTGAGAAACATTTTTAAGTTCTTTGGTGATTTCTGCACATTATTATGGATGCTGCCCACTCTGTGTGTCCAGGTACTTTGTTTTACAAATAAAAAAATATGAAACAAAACATATCCCCAAACTAAATGGAGAACTCTGAAGCTCACTTGTTGATCAACCAGAAGAGCAGTGTTAGATCCAGTTTTCTTCCTACTTAACACGTCTCTCTCTTAAGCCAAGAAAATTCTTACTCCTTTCCTACCTACTTTACCTTTGTATTCATGTAACAACACGGGGCATTTCCTAGAATTTCAGTAGATATTAATGAAATAAATTTATATCTTGTGTCAGGTTGCAAATACATGCTGGAAAAACCTGCCAGTGATAAATACACAACTGCCCTGTTTTCAGAAGTCTAGTGCATCAAATAAGTTCCTGGTGCTCTGCTTTGAATTCAGTAAATGCTCTCCACTTAACCCTAGAACCTATAATGACTCCTGTTGATTTTGAGCACAGCAGCTAATCATTGTAAAGATTTTAGCTCAGGCCAGGGGCACATAGGGTGTGTTGGATGGTAGGCATTCTGTACTAGAGCTACATGCAGAAAGAAATAGAAAAAAAATCTGTTAACAAATATTTATGGATTTAACACAGACTTTACAACATGAGAATATGGGGGTGGTACAGAGATTTCCCTGCAGCTGGGCATATGTCCAGAAAGTACAAAACTAGAAAAGAGGACATACGCCATAGTTTGTAGAACAATGAAGTCTAATAAAGAGGCACGTACATGAATGTGTAGACAAGATCTGATTTACAGTCCAAGTCTTCCCTTCATTCCTCATCAAGGCTGGCATATTTTGTTTTGTTTTTCTTTGCTTTTGCCAGAAGTATCTAGGAATTTTATTTCCTCTGAAACGCCATGTGCCTGGGCCCATGGAATTTAAATGTGTAGAAAGAGTGGAAATTCTGACTCATCATCTGCTTTACTCATGGAAAGTAAAATAGATTGTGTGCAATTTTAGTCTTATATCCAACATACTAATGGTCCAAGACTCCATGATCCTTGTTTTTAGGTCTGTCTTTTCACTATGAAAATTGTCTGGGGCTGGAGCGATAACACAGCGGGCAGGGTGTTTACCTTGCATGTGGTTGACCTGGGTTCGATTCCCAGCATCCCATATGGTCCCCTGAGCACCATCAGGGGTAATTCCTGAGTGCAGAGCCAGGAGTAACCCCTGTATATTGCCGATCACTGGGTGTGACCCAAAAGGGAAAAAGAAAGAGAGAGAGAAAAGAAAATTGTCCTAGGAGAGGCTCAGTTAAGACTTTATCAACATTGATACTTTCCTGTGTGTGGGTAGTGAGTTTGTTCTTGCTTTCTAACAGGTAGTTTTGATTATAATTATTATAAAAAGAAGAATGTTTACTCTTCTGTATTTTACTCTTTCATTTTGGAAGGAACAGAGCCTCTTATATGTGGAGTGTGTTTGGTAACCGGCTGTTCTATAATATAGTAAGTACTTCATTGTAACATACCTCCTTCTTATGGATAAGAAAACTTAAATGAATTTCTTTTTCTTTTATCCTTTGGGCCAAACCAGCCTTAATTAGACGAACTCCTGACTTTGCACTTAGAGATCACTCCTGGGTGGGCTCAGAGGACAATATGGGGTTGTAGGGATTGAACCTGGGTAGGCCACATGCAAAGCAAGTGCCCTATCCTCATATAATCATGCCAGCCCCTAAATGAGGGGTGTTTTATCTTTAAATTTTATATTCTGAACTATTACCAGTCTTGATGAGGAATCAGCTTCAGTTTGAAAAGCATAGAGCGTTCTCGTGGGTTGGGTCGCTGAACTAATTGAGACAGCTTGGAGGCACTGTAGTTTCTTCCCAGGAAAGAACAGTGAGTCAGATCCTATTGAAAACCATCTCCTCTCCGAAGCATAGCAATCTTTAAGTAAGTAATTAAAACAACAAGGCAGAGGGTTCTTTTTATTAAAAAATTTATTGAAAAAAGAGTAATGCTTTGTACAAATTCCCATTACAAAACCCCACGATCGCTATTGGTCTGTTTACAGGTATATGGCAGAGTACAAATATATCAAAATTCGGTTATAACAACTGTTTGCTGTTTGTGACTACAGATTTCTTTATGAATTTAGCAAGTAGTAAGAAGCATTTGTACTCAGATATCATTAAGATATAACTCCTTGACCATACCTTCTAGAAGCTTTGATTTTCATGTTTATAAAGCACATTAATAGGTTCTAGTTAAAGCTCTTGTATGATGCACTCCTTTGCATAACTTCCCTCATGTGGTTTCACGGTAAATGAGCCTGCCAAACCTCCTACCCTAGTGTCAGCTTGCAAATAATTGCAATAGTTCTGACAGTATCACTTAACAGATATACATCTTGTATAACCTTGCAAGTTCTAATTCAAAACTATCTCCTATCCTTTGTCTTTGTAAATATTTACACTTTTGTTTTATCCATTCCATTTGCAGACTTGTCCTAAGTCAACTCTTTTCCTGAAGGGAGAATTGCCACAGACAGCATGAATATAAACTGGTTAAAGAAGCAAAGACTTAGAAACCTTCTCATTGTGTAAACTGAAGTTTTCTTTCATGTTTCGTGGCTTGAGAAATCTGTTAAGAAACCTATATTTTTAAAGTGTCATTTTTTTGGAGTCATGTAAGCAATAATGCAACACCTGTGATCTGAAATCCTTAATGCCTTTCCATAGGACAGTATTTTCACCTTACTAAACCATATTTCCACGAGCCCATCTCACCTCTCACCTGATCCCCACAAAGGCTCTGTGAAGTAGGCAGGTCAAGAATTACAATGCAATCTCCAGCTGAAGCAATAAATCTAGGGCAGTCAAGTATCTTGCTCCGTCAGACAGTAATTGATAGCACCAAGACTCAAATCAGGTCTCCAGACACCAAAGCTAACACCCTTTCATTACATCATCTAGCTCAAGTGAAGTAGCATTTTCCACAGACTGGGAAACGAAGAGTAATTGTTAGAATGGAAAGGGAGCACCAGCAAAATGCTAGGTACTGTTGAAAGGAAACAGACTGGAGGGGGAAGAAAACTGCTGAATTATGTGAATATGTGTTTGCAGATTTGGTTTTATGACTTCTTAATAGCCAATTGAGAAAATAAAAACACTCGGGCATATTTCATGTTCAAAGAATGAGCATAATACCTACTAATTGATACTCGCACCACCTCTACCAGCTGGTTAAGTATCATTATCTCAATTTGACAAAGAGGAGAAAGATTAAGTGACATGCTTACAGCTACAAAAAGACTATTTGTCACCAGATTATCACTACAGAAAGTCTTGAACTTCATTCATGCAAACAGGCCACACCTTTCTGGGAAGAGGTAAACATTACGCTATTTACATATGAGAAAACTGTTGAGAAGATGCTGGGATTAGACTGCTCGTGGTTTGAGGGAATGGGTAACAGTGAATAAATAGCTCAAAATTTAATCAATAAAACTGTGTTACAACACCTGAGAAAGCAGAACACAGTACACACTGGGACAAATATTTCCCAAGCAGACAAATGTGTGAGAGGTCAGAGCACGTGAATCGTGTGCGAAGGTTATGGGAATATATCATTCTGAATTTACAGGAAGAATTGTTCCAACAGTCCCGATTTTGAAGAAGTCCTTGTTTAGATATGTTTTGTTTTTGTGGTGTTGGGGATTGAACCCAGGGCTTCACACATACAGTCAAGAGCTTTATGGCAGACCTATATTCCCAACCCTGGGTAAGAGGCTCCTTGACTTAAGAATTAAATTTTAAGCTCATGAAATGTGTTATCAAGAGTCAAGGGTCAAGACCAACCCCAGCACAAAGAAAAGGAATAAAGAATGACTGAGGACAAAGTAGGTGCTATCATATCATAATAATAAAAAAAATAGCAAGCACATGAAAAGGGCATAATAGCTAAAAGAATCCATACATTAGATTGATTAACACTTCTGTCAAAAACATTAAAAGCTGAAGAAGTACATTATATTAATTCTACTCTAATTAGATATTAGTCTACCTAGAGAAAGCACAGAAATATACCAAGTAAATGGTTACTGTAATCAACATAGAATTAAATATATTTTTCTCTCTTTAGATATATATTTAGGCATGTTTATACCAACATATATGAATAAGAGCTTTTGTTATCTAATTTTTTATAGAAAACCCTGTATATACATACTATATATATTTGAGAAGCACCCCCTCCCCCATATGAGGTTATCACTCAGTGGACTGCAATTATACAAATGGCAAAGGGTTCCATCCAGATTGAAGAAAAAAAGATAAAAGAAACCATTTTCTAGCAATGGATACTTTTAAAAAATATGGTTTTGTTTTGGTAATAACACAGTTCAGACTGCAAGAGTCAACAGTTTAAGGCCTTTTTAGTATCAGTGGTGGTATTTCAACGTCCACTTTTCTGCTTGTTCCAGCTTGGTTATGTCCTCTGTTTCAGTGTCACACATAGTCTTTCCCACTCGAAGGTGTAGGTTTAGGATAGGGCCTTGGTGTTGGGTAAGATGTTGTTTTTCTGGGACAGGAGCAGCAAAGTAGGGCACCTCCCAAAAGACAGAGAGAAGCAGCAGCCCAACCAGTGAATAGAGCCTGACCGAATTCATACCTAAAAAGAAAAGATAACACATTTGTTTAGTTAATGAAACACTGGAAACTTTCCTAGTGTAATTATTGAAAGAGAGTTTTATAAATAGTCCTCATGAACTCCCGTCACTCCCCGCTTCCCCTCCCACACATACACACAAACTGGAAAAAAAACATATAAATCCTAGGGATTTATCATTAGTGTTTATCATTAGTGTTTGTTAGCACACACACACACACACACACACCAATATTTTCATTAGAGTTGCTGACAATTTGCAATATTATATCAGGCAGGCAACATGTCATGGAACAGAAGGTTAATTACACAAATACTTCCAGAGAATTCTACAAGTGCAGACTTGCAAATGATGTGTATAGATTTATGAAGTCAGGTTTGGATAATGGGTCTAAGGTTAAAGCTTAATAAGTTATGCTCTCACCAAGTAGCAAAAATATCTATAAAGAAATCACTAGAATGTGATGAAAATTATTCAGATTTTAAATAGTCGATTTCATATAACAAAACAGGCTTTAATTTGTAACTCTACAATAAAGACTTCTAAACAGACAATGAACATTTCTAGACTTAGCTGATCCAGCCAGCTGTATTAAGACAGATATCTGGAATGAAGATCTACTACTAACTGTGGAAAATAAGGTATGAATATGAATCCTAATGCAAACTCTGAAATACTGCGCTAGAACCTTCATTTTCTACCTCATTTTCTGCATCTCTTAAAGTCAAATGATTTTTTCTAACACACTGAACTGCTTTTAGGAATAGTGCCCTAAGAGACAATGTACATAACAAGTGTAGAGTGCCAACTATTTATAAAGTGCTTTCACAGGCATTGCAGGTAAAATTTTAGCCTATCTGTCTGCAGGAGTTTTTGTTCTTCACTGTCAATCTTACGGGAAGGGTTCCAACATACTCATGGCAGAATGTTTTTCCATAGGTGGCTGATTATTATTACAAAGTATCACACCTTATCTCTTCAACCAATGTGATTTTTTCATCCATTCATCCTAGACTCAACAAACAATAATTATATCTTAACATCCTGACTCTGAATGTAGTTATTAAACTTTAAAGGTATGAACACAGACAAAGAGCTTTGTCCCTGATCAAAGAGTGTCATTACACTACAGCCAAGAATTAACTTTTTAATTCCCAAAACTTATAATATAAGAATGGTGACCTTTGTAAAAGTCAATTTTATAGCCGTGGTGGAGCATATAATTTGTAAGTGGTATCTCAACCTACTTTTCCCATAAATAATTCAACTGTACTTGCATTGGTAAGATGCTTGGGAATGAACGAGTATTCATCAACCTCTACAACAGTATAATTTTTACAATTAAAAATTTGTCTACTCAACACCAATAATAAAAATTAAGTGTCTAAATATAGAGAGCATAGAGGGAATTTCAAATACATAAAAGGTAAAGGTAAAGGCCCTCCCGTTGATCGTCGATTTGCTCGAGCGGGCCCAGTAACGTCTCCATTGGAGACTTTGTTGTTACTGTGTCTGGCATATCGAATACTCTCGGTAGCTTGCCAGGCTCTCCGAGAGGGGCGGAGGAATCGAACTCGGGTCGGCCATGTTGGCCGCTTGTAAGGCAAACGCCCTACCCGCTATGCTATCGCTCCAGCCCCCGAATACAAATACATAAACATCTCAATATAAAAATACAATTAATATGGTCCACATACAGTTGAAAACTATAGAACTTGAAACTTTTCTATTTTTAAGTACATATTTTGTCATCAATATCATGTATTGAGGAAGAAAGATCAAACTCATTTTAGCCTGAATCATGATCTATTCAAATTAACTTTTAGTTTAAAAATCAATGAAACACTGAAGAACAAATCTGAGAAGATAAAGAGCTAGCTGTTATTTACCAAACATAAAGAGAATTTTCTGAGAAAAAACTATTATACACATGAATAGCATTACCTTGCATTGACTGGTGTCATAGGGTCATAGAATTCTTGAACAATTCTATTTCCATACCATGCTGTGGCAACTAACAGAGCCAGACCTAGAGAAATTCAAAACCAAAGATTTAATCCTCATGGACCACTAAGCTTAAGTACATAGCATTAAATTTATAAAAATTTTACAAGGATTCAATATTATCAATAGTGCACCAATTTTTAATTTAGATAGTTTTAATTTATGCAGATTAGAGTTAATTTATTCAATTATTTAATAATACATACAAAATATTAGGTCATTGTTAGGCACAGTTCATCACAGTTATGCACTTTCTGCCATCTTGTTTTCCAATAATAATTCAAGATCACTGCCATTGGGAAACAATTCAATGATGTATGGTGTCCTAATATCTCTTTCAAGTATATTGCTACACATTAGCATATAGCTCTGTTTGATCAAACTAATGATCTTATTAGTATATGTAGAACCAGTTGTAAAGTGAATGATTAAAAAAATCCTTCTACACTCTTCTTGATCAGACTCAAATTTATATTTCTGCAGATTCAAATGTTCATCTGTATTAACATATCAGGGAAGAAGTGGACCAGCCAAGAATAAACCAAATCATCTAAATTCTTACTAGCTGTACAGATATACTAGGTATTATCAGGATACCTGCTGAGATGTCACATCATATCTGTTTAAGCAGCACACTTTCAACCTCACAGACACTGCATATTTCAAAAATACCAGAGATTCTACTCAGTCAAAAATAATTCAGTCCATCTTGCACACAATTATTTAATATTATGATCCTGCCGATACAAAATAAATTATTCTTACAATAATTCTAAAATATCACCAATATAGAGAAATTAAATCTTTATAGTAATGCTTCACTGTTCAACCCCAAAATGGTTCAGTCTAATTCGATCTCTAACACTTGTCAGAAAACACTCTTGCTTTGAGTTGTTCAGATAGATCATGGGAGTGACCTGAAACTTTCAACTCATACGCTAGAAGTCCCTGAAACTAAGTGGAAAAGATCTATTACTTAGGAGAATTATAAAGTGGGTTAGACAGTACAGAAAGTTGGATACTTGTCTTGCATGTTGTCAACTGGGATGACTCCCGGGCACCCTAGAGGATCTCCCAACGCCTGCTATCAGTGATCCTGAGCAAAAGAGCCAAGAGTAAACCACCAGTGGATGTGGCCCCAAAACTAACAAATAAAAGAAGCAAACAAAAAATAAAAGAGGGTAAAACAAGGGATGTGGTAATTATTTAATTATAAAATTTAATTATTTGAAATCAAACATCATCCATATTTTTGTTTGCTGTTTTTTGCTTGTTTTTGTTTTTGTTTTGTGTTTGGACCACAGTTAGTCGTGCTCAGAAATCACTCCTGGTGGGGATCAGGGGACCATAGTGAGTTTCAGGGATCTAACAAGCTCAGCCTTGACAAAGTCAAGCACCTTACCAAATGTTATCTTTCCAGGTCCCCCCATCTATATTTTTTCTGACAAGAACTGATCTGGGTATACAAAAAAACAAAAACAAAAACAAAAACAAAACTGATCACTGTAGCCAAAATGCTTCACAAAGCCCAGGCACACTTCAGGATAGACTAAATCCTTGCATTATACTGGGTAGACAATGAGTATCTTTTTGTCAGAGTCATTTCTAGCTTTTCCAAGTGGTAGTTTATATTACTAGTCTCATTTTCAAGCACAATAGATTTCTATGTAGATTATAAGTGGCTTGTATTAGTAGTTTTATTTCAAAAATCAAAGATTACCACATATACTCTTTGAAAATAAATATAAACCTACAGAAATATTTATGTTTGCATTTTATATACTATTTTATGCAAACACTTTCATTTCAAAAGTAAGCCTCATTATAGATCTTTATAGAACTGCCACATTTAATCCTGGTCCTCATTTTCTCAAACATCAAAAAACTAACTCATCATCATTCACTGTCATCACTGTCATCCCGTTGATCGTCGATTTACTTGAGCGGGCGCCAGTAACGTCTATTCTTCCCAGCCCTGAGATTTTAGCAGCCTCTTCTTACTTGTCTTTTCCCAACTATTAGAGACTCTTTCAGGGTCAGGGGAATGAGACCTGTTGTCACTACTGTGTTTGGCATATCAAATACACCATGGGGAGCTTGTCAGCCTCTGCTCTTGCCAGTGGGATACTCTTGGTAGCTTCCTGGGCTCTCCAAGAGGCATATATTTATATATTTCTCTCTCTGATTTTTTGTCACTCATCATCATTATTTGAATAAAATATCAAATACATTCAAATACTTATTTATTTTAGGTGAAAATATGAACTCCTTATTTTAAAAGGGTTATCTCCAAGGTTTTTTGTTAATTGCTTTTTAACTCATTTAGCCTAATTTCCCACCATTCCAACATCACAAGTGCACTTTTTTTGGTCTTCCTCTTCACTGAATTATGGGTGCATGCATTTTTTTAAGATGGAATGTTGCCCACATTTCTTTCTAATAATTCCAGTTACATCTATTCTTCAGATCTATTGATTTATTCTTTATATCATCTCTCACTACTTCCCATCTTTTCTATGTAGTAGCTGTGGGGTAAATAGAACAGAAAATTTCTAACTGAGACAGAATTGTTTCTTAGTGATTGCTAGATGAAAAATCTGTCTGTTCACTGAGTTGAAACTGGTTCTAATGAACCTCTAGCAACTGGAACCTCAGTGACCATACCTGTCACTGTGACCAGAGATATCAAATTTTTATCTCATTAAATTTCTATTAGTGAATGTAAAAATCTGGATTTAAAGCCAAATAAAAAAATCAAATAAACTCAAATAACATAAGTCAAGTGAAAAAAAAAAAACATAAACTAAGGAAAGTGAAACTAGATAGACTTCATACCAGAAAGATCTTCATAAGTTAAAGGTGAGTAGGACCTGTCTTACCTGCAATAAGAAATATCACACCCCCAACAACGGCCATCCGCATCTTCTGTACCTCATCATCTTCCAGACATTTCATACATTTCATGCCAACAGTGGCTACACAGATGGCTATTACTCCCAGGAGGATGCCAATCACCATCAAGGCACGAGTAGCTTGCAAAGTACCTAGGAGAAAACAGTTTGGAACAGTTGAAATATATGCAGAGATAATATGACAAGTATAAGAGAAAACCAAGTATATGTCAATTCTACATGAAGGAGGAAAAATTGCACCATGAGCCTGAAGACCCTGTTTGAGAAATGTTCCTGTCAGCAACCAATATGGTTTCTTCTCCAGAAAAACAAATATTGGACTGGATGATGAATGAGAAGCTCTCTAACTCTAACTTTTAAAGTTTTCAAAAATCTTTTAAAAATACAATTAATGATCTGGCTGAACAGGTTTAGTTGAGCTTTATATTATACATATTTAATCGTAATGCCGTATTTTAATTTTGAAATAACAATGATGTGTATTACTCTTAATGTTGAACAATTTATAATTATAATGGTATATAATATATCTTGGTAATTATCACCAGCTTTATACTCCAATCATCAAGCTTCATATAATCCAGGTGAATTTAGAAGATAAAAATAAATTTTTCATAATTTTCATTTCGTGACTGGATAAGCACCATTTATTTTGCCAATAACTAAACTGGGAGGTGATAAGATATGAATTTAATTTTTTGAAGCAAAATAACTTTTAGTTTGAAGCATAATGGATTCATAGTCACAGGTACCACCAATTTTATAAATGAAATTTCCATATATAAGTCAGCAGGAAGTAATGCAATATAATATTTCACAGATTCCACTAATTTTTTAATTTCTATATTTGGCATCAATGTAGTAGATCATGATAAAAAATCATCTGGGATCAGGTTTCTAAGTTTTAGGCAATAAATTTCTAAAAATCAAAATATGATACCCTCAGTTCAAGTCTATGATACACATTTTCTTTGGCTTTGTTTGTTTTTTGGTCACACCCAGCAGTTCTCAGGGATTACTCTGGGCTTTGTGCTCAGGGATCACTCCTGGTGGACCTTGGCAGACCATCTGGGTGCTGGGGATCAAACCATGGTTGGCAGTGTGCAAAGCAAACACCCTACCCATTGTAGTATTATTGCTCTGACCCCAGACATACACTTTTCTGAAAGAGCTGATATTCTATTCATTAGAAAGAACAGACTAAATTGTGGATTTATTTATTCATTCAAATAAGGATGACTGGGTTAGGATAGCTCAGTAGTAAAGTGCTTGCCTTGTGTATGTGAGCCCTGGATTCTATCACCAGCAACACAAAAACAAACACAGAAACACAATCATTCAAACAACAAATAAAGATCACTGTCTCCTTGATAGTTCTAATAAGCAACAAGAATATTTCATATGTACCTATTACAAATATATTTCGTATGTAAGTACTACAATATAACAAACCATGTTATCTAGGATAAATGACTTATTATCCCCTGGGACCGTGTTTCTATCACATAAAGTGTGACTGATGATACATCTCACTGTTTGGAATGATTGACTAATGATCTTCAGAAGTGGATAAGATGATGGGGACTTCATATCTCAGAGTTTATTTTTTTTAATATCTCACAAAATAGATCCAAATTTAGTCTCAGAATTTTTAGGGTTGTGAACAGAGGTAACTGATCATGATTAAAAGGAATGTTTTAAAACATCATTTAATTTTAATTTTCTGGGCTTTTCATCATTGTCATAATATATTCTGAGATAAAATCATACATATTTCAAATATATATGTATATATGAATATATTTACTCTACTGAGTGATGTTTTGAATGTGAAGATACATTTTTATTTCATTCAGAAATAAGAGATGCTTCCCACCTCTCTTTGTATATTCATCTCCTTATAAGGTATGTAGGAACATAAGCACCTTAACTTCACACTTAGCTTGTGATTCTTGGGTAGGACAGGAGCTAATAAATTAAATATATATTCCATTGACTATATAGTTATCAAAAAATATGATTGCAAAACTACTTCTATGGAAAGGAAAACCACACTGGTATGAAGAGGAAAGTACCAAGAACTCCAAAATGATGGCGTGGCCTTCCTTCTAATTTACCAATAGTGTTCCTGTTGACAGTCATTACTTAGAACAGGGCTGGGGAATGTTTTTACTGCCTCTGATCCATCTGGATATTTATAGCATCATTCTCAGTTCATACAATAGACGCAGACAGGTCTTGGGAAGCCAACATGAAACAAATTCTCTTCCCTGTCAAGTACAAGGTCAGGACCACATGATTTTTCAGACCTTAACATGGCCCAAAGTTTGAACAGCCCTCACTTCTAACTTAAAGGGCGAAAATGAACAACTAATCTTATCTAAAATGCAAATGTCATATTTAGTCATAAGAGCCCATTGATGAAAAAAGCACTTCAGTCTGTGGAATGCTGGACAAGAAGATGCTGAAAAAAATCACAGAGGTTATCCATATGCCAGGAGAACTGAGTGATGACCCACCCATTTGCCTAGAACAGCCTTGGTTTTAAAACAAATCCTGCTTCCAAAAACAGCCCTCAGTCCCAGGTATGTAATGATAGTTGGTCCCTCTATCAAAAGACTATAGAAAGTGAAATGAGTTGTTTTTTAGCAAGGGGGGCATAAGGCATTTATCATGCACAACTTTGCAAGCTAGAGAAAGGGATTTGGACTTTATTCTAAGTAATCAGAATTTATAGAGGGCCTTAAAGAAGGAGTCACAGGATTGTCCCCTAGCTACAGAGAACAGAATTAGTTAACATTCTTTCAGCGACAGCCCTTCAACTATGTGTAGTTTCTTAATCTCTAAACCACTGGCTTTGTTTTCTCCTAAATACTCAATTGTTCAACCCTTATTAATTACTTTTGCTGCTTTCTCTGATCTCTCTCCAAGTTTTCACTTTGAGTTTTAGGACTACAAACTGGACTCAGCTTCTATAACAATCATTCTGATCTGCACTTCACATAAAATCAGCAGGTCACCAGCCCAGCAGGTCTAGCGCTGGATCACAAGGTACACTTCATGAGTTTACAGGGTCTCAGTCTCATGAGTCAGTCTCTTATTAAGCCACCCAGGCAGGGAACAGAGAGATGTTATTGGAGAGTTCCATCTACATTCACCTAGACTTATCTACAGATTTATCAAACATCTACTATTTGCTTCTTTAATATTCTTCACCTTCCAATGATCATATTTGATGGATAGCTTACCCAGTTTACTCTTTCCTCTCCTTTTCAAAGTTTCTAAAGGACAAGGGGAGAGGGGATAGATACTTTGTTCTATGTTTGCCCAAAGCTCTAGTATGTTTCATTTCCTTTAAGAATAATGCATTGCTTATACAATGGACAGATAATAATGAATAAAATGGGAAAGTGCTTTCCACTCGTTCAGACCATTCAGAGGAAGAGCACGATGACGCACTTTTAAAAGTGTAATACATCAATAGTATTATTTTGCAAAGAAACATTTTTTTATTTACATCCTGACACCCATTGGTTTAGGAAACTTCTCTGTATTTTACAATACTGGATGGACGTCAAACACAAAAATCTCTCTTCGTTGGAGACAGCTGGAGGAATTCTTAACTACAGTGACATGTCAGCGGAAATGTAAACATAATTTTTTAAAGGCTAAAAATCATAGCATGATGAAAACTCACTAGCTGAGCTATGTAATGATATATTAGGTGTCAAAGTAAGTAAGTGCTATGGTACAAGTTATGAGGGTTTTATGTGCTGATAGAATCTAAATTGCATAGGTTTTAGCTGGAACCAGATGAATCCTTTAAATTAAGGTCTTATTGAAGTCTTTTAAGTCAGAGATTTAAAATACTTAATTGTGAACTCTTTGATGACTTGGGACGGGTATTTGTTCACAATTTCCATTTAAAGCACTAGGAATTGTACCTAGAGACGTACATGGATTTTATCTATGGTCATTGAATTTAAATTAGAATATGTCTTCATCTTCTCAAAAAGTTACTAAGATTATAGGTAATAAATACTCTCTGGTGCTTAGCTCAATCAGTAAAATAATACTAAGAAAAACCTCCCTAGGAAGACTATGTTAGATCTTCCATATAAACATACTTAATTTGATTTAGATTTTGTTAAACGTTAGGACTTCATATAAGGAAGACAAATCATGATTTTTGCTCAACTTGATCTACTTTTCATAATTTTTGTATTTTCATTCCTTAAGCTTTCCTTTTTTCCCCCTAGTGGAATAATTGTGGACAGGTCAGAGAAGCTGAGAGGTGACTGAAAGCTATCAAATAATATTGTGCTACAAGGAGATACAATATAGTCTTGGACATTTAACTTTGATATTTAACATTTAAAATAGTATAACTGGATCAAATCTGGAAACAATTGAATTCTTTTCTTGATCTCTTAAATTTTCAGATATGTCTACAATACTATTATTATTGAATAAAGTTGAACGAATTGGCTAGGGAACATTTAAGATATCACACTATGTTTTGCATCATTATTCATGAGCAAAGTGACAAGGCCTTCTTTTATTTACACTTAACTAGACTGATAATCCTGAGATTAACGATTTTCTAGTAGTTCTCACTACTTGTAACCCAAACACATAAATTTGAATAAATACTTTCAAACATCCTACTTAAAAACAAAAGGAAAAATCAGTTGGGAGTTACTGATCTATATTATGCACGTTAGTCTTCATAAACATAAAAAGCAAAATAGAGACAAGTGGAATATTTTTTTAAATATCCTTTTTGAAGTTTACTATGAAAATAGCATATTCTTCTGTAAATAGCTAACATTATTTATGTTTTTTACAACTATAACGCTTCCTTACAGAGCTTAAAAATAAATTAATTGTATTGGGGCTGAAGCGATAGCACAGAGGGTAGGGCATTTGCCTTGCACATGATTGACCCGGGTTCTATTCCCAGCATCCCATTTGGTCCCCTGAGCACCACCAGGAGTAATTCCTGATTGCAGAGCTAGGAGTAACCCCTGTGCATGGCCAGGTGTGACCCAAAAAGCTAAAAAAAAAAATAATTGTATCTTCATCCTCACATAGCCTCCTTTGCTTCAGTAGTTGCTCCATAAATGTTAGGGAAATGAACTGATAGTACAATTAGGACAAATCTGTGCTCCTCTTCTTAATAGTAAAATGGACCCATAACAGTCACAGACCTACATTCCCCTGGCTACTCCACTTATTAAATCTTCCACTTTTATTCATGTTCAATGTTTCTCATGACTCCTTATTAGCATTTCTGTTTTATGGCTATGTGTGCTGGTTCCCACTGGGAACCTCAGAGCAAACACTCCACCATCAGAACCTGAATTGGTCTGAGGTAAGGTAGCACTTATACTTTCAGAATTTTCATAGAAATTTTATTCCCCCCCTTTTTTTTTCAGAGAAATGTGACTGAGCCAGGCTTTTCTACTACTTCTGTTCTACTTATTCATTTCAGTCAAGGAAGTCTCCACCATTTGCCATTTTCCTGCAGTTTGCAACAAAGAATGTCGACACTGGAGGGAACCCACTTTGGATGGATTCAACCTTATAAATCAACTTATCTGCATCCTTAGAAGCAAGAATAAGGCCTGGCTCACACTTATTGAATGGATAAATGTATCATGCATTTATCTCCCTATATTTTCTCATTCCCCTGACCCTGAAAGCGCCTCCAGTCATTGGGAAAGACGAGTAAGAAGAGCCTGCTAAAATCTCAGGGCTGGGACAAATAGAGAAGTTACTGGCGCCTGTTCGAGTAAATTGACGAACAACGGGATGACAGTGATACAATGATACAGTGATATTTTCTTCCACTAGCTGTATTTTATGTGTGGACAAACTACAGTCTGGAAAGATCAAGTTGCTTATCATTATATATGTAGCTAGTTAGTTCAAAGTCACCATAAAAGACACTAAGAGCTAAGGTTCCTGGACTTAGGCCCAAATTTTCACCCAACTTCTATCTTCTATCATACAAATGCCAGGACTAATTCTTTTAGGAGATCTAAACACCAATTGCCCCTTGACCAAGTTGGTCTAGAAGGTACAGAGCAGAGTAGAAGGTTTAAGTGGGTGTCCTTTTCACTCTCTACGCTCCAAAGACTATTCAAGTCAGTGAGTTTTTTGTTTCTGTTTGAGCCTGACATCATGGTGAGAATGCGGGAAACCTCACTCACAACCAATGTTCATTAAACACTCCTACACGCCATGTGGATTCATGCAAAGCAAGTTCAACAGGCTGTAGGAGCTCACAAACAAATTACAGAATCCCAGTGTTGGAGGCGGATTTTAGAGAGAGTCTGGCATAACCTCCCATTTGTCTGCTGCGTGGATTTTCCCTACCACGTTCCCATAAAATGATCACTCGTTCTCTGCTTGCTCACCTCACACCAGCAGCCTACCTGGTAGCCCAGTGTCAACCAGCTGTTAAATATCAGAAAGAAGAAGCCATGAACTAAACACAAAACAAGGGCCAGCTGACCAAGTATTTGAGAACTGGGTCAAAAATAGGTAAAATGCACAGATAAATGGAGAAAAGGCCACTGTAAAAAGTCAGTATCCTTTGTGTATTCCACTGTTCAGCTACGGGAGTCATCAGCGTCAATAAACATTACATATTTTGAATGGAAATTGTCCCAGCCATAGTAAAACCACAACACAGTTTAACATCTGTTTCCCCAGGAAGTTTCTCAGTTACATTTTCATAAAATGCTTCGCAAGAACCACCTAAAAGAAACTCTTTTGTACCTCATTTCCTAGACAGTTTAAATATACTGCATCACGTTAATTACTTTATGAAGGTCATGTGATTTCTTTTTTATAGCTGGTACTCGTCAGAGCAAGAGAACACAGCTCTGTTTTGTTTTAAGACACGGTTTGTGCTGCAACCTTTTTAAAAAAAATCCCTGTATCTGGACACTAAAATGCCAAATGGGCGGTACTGGCAAAGAGAACAAAGTATAACTTCAGGAAGCATTCTGGAAACTTTTTCTCCTGAAAATAAAAATTACTCTTGAGATGAAGATAATCTCTTCTAGACAAAACTTTATCATCAGAAAATTCTTCCCAGCTCAAGATATCATAGAACTATACCAAAACCAGCCAATGAATCACTGTTCCAAGACTCTCCATCAGGTGGGCGGTGCAAGCAACACTGCCCAGATGAAGAAACTGAGAGAGGTTCTCTGTAATCCATCCAAAGGCATCCAGTGAGTCACTGGCAGGTTGTAGAGAGTATCTATGACTCAAGGATCCCTTCTCTGGGAATCAGTTTTGAGAGAAAGGCCTAGCTCCACCTTGGATAAACTCTGGCTTAACAACTACCAAAAACTAAAAAAAAATCTGAAAGATGGGTAGGTTTAATATAACTCTCCCACTGCTATTAAAACATAGAAATGGACATAATAACTTGGAATGTATGAAAATAAAATATTTTCATGTTATACTGATCAGGACTGATCTCTCTCCTTCTCTCTCTCTCTCTCTCTCTCTCTCTCTCTCTCTCTCTCTGTCCCTCTCTCTGTCTGTCTCTCTCTCTCTCTTTGCTTTATGGGTCACACCGAGCGATGCTCAGGGGTTACTCCTGGCTCTGCATTAAGGAATTACTCCTGGCTATGCTTGGAGGACCATATGGGATGCTGGAACTGAACCTGGGTTCGCCGTAATTAAGGCAAATGCCCTACCCCCTGTACTATCACTTCAGCCCCCAGCACACCAGGACAGATCTCTTTAACATGGCTCAATCTGATTCCATTTGGTTAAGGATGGAACACTATTTAAACATGATAAAATTAACATTTAAAAATAAAGTTATTTCTAGCTTTAATTTAGACTCTATGGTATACATTATTGTTAACGATATAGTTTTAGGTATACAATGTAATAACTGCAGTCTTGGTATAGTGGTGAACTTTGCTGCCTTCCAATATTCCACCCAAACAACAGTGTCTAGGTCCCCCCATCAATGTCTCAAATTTTCTTCTCACCCCCCAACCCCAGCGATTTGGCAAAATCACTTTAAAAATCAATGATAGTAGTTTGGGTTACATATTAACATCGTGTTAATGTGCACCATTCTCATATCTACAGAAAGTGAACTATTTTGATGAGAGCAATCAGAGATTTCACTGAAATCGCCCCAAAATCTTTTCTTCCAAAGCTTCAAATAATCAAATGCCTGCCACCATTTCACCGGTCATACTGATATTTTCATGTGCAGAATCAATGATTATTTTCGAATTATTCACCACAAAAGTACAAATATATTTTAAGAGCCAATGAACAATTACTAAACCTTTGATTAACTCTACACCTCCTGTTGGAATCAAGGAGTCCTAAAGTATGAACTTCAAAAGGTAAAATGATAACATTCAAAACACCTGGCATGTTGGAAAACCTTCTTTCATCAATGCTCATGGTGTTTAAATAGATCCAGAACAGAGTTAATAAGTCTAAACCGTCTGACTTTGGAAAGAAGAAAAAAAACAGTGAAGCAAATACAGGAGCTGGACAAAACTGCAGTGAACTTGAGCAACGACAATACAGCTTACCCTCCACATACAAAGTGAGCTGGTGGGCAGGCTTGTTTATCTAGGCAAAGGCTGAAGAAGCCGTTCTTCAAGTCAGTTTATGAAAGGGCCTAGCAGACATAGTGCAAGACAACTAATGCCATATTTCAGAGAAGATACTCCAGCCACGAATTGTTATTACCTAATTTAGTGGGAATGCGATATGTGCCTGACACGGCATCCAAAAGATTTTATTAAAAATTAAAAGGGTGAAAAGGGCATCCTCTCAAGGGCTTCCCACCATTCTTTGGAATACTTCTCTCAAGACAATGCTTTCTAACTGGAGAGAAGGAGCAAACATCTCTCCCCCACAAATGTCTTTGTGAAAGAAGGAAATGTTTTCTCTCACTACCTGCCTCTCCTGGTGACCTTTTCTTCATCAGCTGCATCTCTGTCCCACCATTTCCCCCATGGAAGGGCCCTCACTCTCCCCTTCACTTCAAAAGGGAAGTTATTTAGAACTTCTCTTTCTTGTCATTCCGTTTCCACCTGTCACCAACCTCCACTTTCCATTCTAACTAGACACAATCTGCCTATCCTGAAGACGCAGGTGTGAAAGCTAAACCATTTGGGGAAATCTAAAGAGACTCATTCAAACAGCTTTGATAGAAGAAGCAAAGGGGAGCTGTCACCCCTAAACATTCTTAAAAATCAAAAGAATCAAATGAATCGAACATAAAGGTGAGTGGAAAGCACGAAGTTGGATCACGCCACCTAAGCGAGTGACTTTCCTCTAGATTTTTAATAAAACAGATCTTTACTTTAAGATTTTTTTTCTAAAGTTGTATTTTACAGAGAACCTTCTGAGAAAGTTCCAAACTTCTCAAAGCACACCAGTTTTTTTTTCTTTTTTTTTGGTTTAAACTCCACCGTGCCACAAGTTTGCTTTGCACTTTTAGAGTGACCGGGAGGAAACCTAAGACCTCAAGTTCAAGCTTTGTCCTTCACCCTCTTCACCCAACATTCACTGGAATTTGGAGGGCCGCAGAGCGTCTCCTGGAGAGCTCCGGAAGCAAAGTGGAACTTGGGTTATCCAGCAATCTCCCAACCCAGGGTCATCTCCACTTCCTAGCATGGGGTGCAGCCCGTGATCAGCTAGCTGAGCTGCACGAGCTGAATTGAGTGGGCACCACTCCCCAGCGGCGTGAGCTGAAATGAGTGGGCACCACTCCCCAGCGGCGTGAGCTGAATTGAGCGGGCACCACTCCCCAATAAGAAGCCCCCTGAGCAGCAGGGGTCGGGGCGTGGGCAGGTCACTGCCGCAGCGGGGTGGGCAGGAGAGGAACGCACTCACTATTCAGGTTCAGCAAGGAGTCAAAGACTTTGCACTGGATCTGCCCGGTGCTCTGGGACACGCAGGACATCCACAGCCCCTCGTAGATGGCCTGGGCCGTGACGATGTTGTCGCCGGCATAGGAGTAGATCTTCCACTGGGGCAGCGCGGTGCTCACGATGGCCCCGATCCAGCCCAGGAAGGCCAGGATGAAGCCCAGCAGCTGCAGCCCCGCGTTGGCCATGGCTCGGCGGCAGGTGCAGCGACGGGGCGGCGGGCAGGAGCGCGGCCGGGACTCCCGGGAGTTGGCGGGGCTCGGCGGGCGGCGCCGCGGGACTGGGCTCCCGGGGGGTGGCTGGGGGGCTTCGACCTGGGGCCGAGGCGGGCGGCGGCGGCGGCGGCGGCGCTGGGCGAGCTGCGGGACTGAGGCGCACCCGCCCGGCGCCCACCTTTAAAGCAGCTCCGCCCCGGACCCGCCCCGTGCATGGAGCGCCCCCTGGCGCCGCGCGCCAGCTGCTCGGCCACAGCAGGGGAGGGATGGGATGGGATGGGATGGGATGGGATGGGATATGATGGAGTGGAGTGGGATGGGATGGGATTTATGGGATGGGATGGAATGGGATTGGATTTATGGGATGGGATTGATGGGATGAGATGCGATGGGATTGATGGGATGGGATTGATGGGATGGGATGGTATGGGATGGGATGAGATGTAATGGGATGGGATGGGATGGGATGGGATGGGATGGGATGGGATGGGATGGGATGGGATGGGATATGATGGAGTGGAGTGGGATGGGATGGGATTTATGGGATGGGATGGAATGGGATTGGATTTATGGGATGGGATTGATGGGATGGGATGGGATGGGATGGGATGGGATGGGATGGGATGGGATGGGGTGGGGTGGGGTGGGATGGGATTGATGGAATCGGATGGGACGGAATGGGATGAGATGGAATGGGATGGGATGGAGTGGGATGGGATGGGATGGGATGGGATGGGATTGATTGGATGGGATTGATGGGATGAGATGCGATGGGATTGATGGGATGGGATGGGATGGGATGGGATGGGATGGGGTGGGATTGATGGGATGGGATGGGATGGGATGGGATGGGATGGGATGGGATGGGATGGGATGGGATGTGCCTGAGCAGCCCTCTGCCCTACTCCTGCACTGCGTTCTTGGGCGGGAAGGTCTCAACGTCCCTCTCCGGATGCAGTTCCCAAGGAAGTCCCGGCACGCCTGGGCTCCCTGGCACGCTCCCTCCTTGCCCACTAGCTTCTTTGCCTCCTAGGAAGGGATGCTTGGCAGGTTCCTCCTAGAGGCCAGCCACGGTTGGCCCGCGTTTGATATGGATGTGTCTATGCGAAAATAAATAAACAAATAGCATGGAGATGAACATTAGCGCTCTTATGAAAACTACAGTTGTCTCTTTTTTAAAACTCTTCCCAGGAACTCCTTATCTAAACATTAGAGCTCTTATGAAACCCACCGTTGTTTTTTCAACTTTTCCCAGAAATTCCCTATTTGACTGCACCCTCCCTTACCTTTTTGTGTTCTTCCTGCTTCTCTCCCTTATGTTAGATTTCCCCCTCCCTTCTTCCCCCTCTCCTTTCCTTGCTTTGCCCCCTTTTCCCCTTAGTACGAACACCCAGGGTTTGGTTCTCAGCACGCTGGTTCTTGCTGGTGCATTTTCAACTTGACCAAAAATATATTTCCTTTCTGAAAATGATCCTTATAAAAGCTGGAGAGATAGTTCAGTGGGTAGGGTGCTTGCCTTCTACCTGAATGGCCAGGGTTCCTCCCAGCATCCCAGAGAGGGAGAGAGGAAGAGGAGAGAGGTTACAAGAGAGAGGAGAGAGAGTAGAGGAGAGAGGAGATAAGAAAAAGAAGAAAATTAGAAAATTACTCTTATAAAGTACTTCTACTTTCCAAGCTTGACACATACTTCTTTCCCCAATACACACACACACACACACACACACACACACACACACACACACACACTCTTAGCCATGCCCTACTGCCACTTATCTTACAACAAAGATAATTTTCAAAGGGATTTATCCAATGGGTCCCCACAGCCCTGTAAAGGTCATTTCAGTGATGATTTATCAGACACTTTTTGTCAAAAAGCCCAGGTCTTAAAATATTCTTTAGCAGAAGGAGAACTGGGCTGTGATTTAGGAAGTAGGGAATCTGGCTCTAGCCGCCCCTTCAGGTTCTGGTCTAGTCCAGCCTTGAACTTCCCTCTGTCTGTCTCTTAAGCTTCCTTCTTGGTAGTTACTCAGAACTGCTGATGCAGTTTGGCATCATTAAAATGTTTCCCTACTGCTTTTGGTGTGTGCAGGGAGCTCCTTTTGTGGTTTTTAGGAAAAGCACAAGCACTTTAGAAGCAGAAATAGATATGGGAAGGAGAAAATAAGAAATGTCCTACTAGTGACTATGGTGCTACACACCAGTGACACGTTTTCAAACCGAATGGGGGAATGCAATGGATGAAAATTTTTCTACCCCTTTGAGGATGCTGATGTTGAGCATCAGACTCTCGAGAGGTTTGAATAGGCACAAAGGGGATTTGGGGATCTCTGTATCTTATTCTTGGTTTTGCTGGGAACCTAAAACTTCCCTTTGAACCGAACTTGTTGGACCACAGATACGTGGTATATGGTATAGCACATGCTTTGCATGCCTAAATCTTTTGCACTGACTCCTTGTACTGCATAGCTCTCCCAGAAAGTATGGTCCATGGACAGGTGTAGCCCTGTTAGCATCTGAGTCCATACTATAGGTGGAAAGCAGGACCTTTCCCCAAGGATCTTACCAGAGTCCACTCCTACCCTCAGAAAATCCAGCAGGGCTGAAGAGGTAGTACAGTGGGTGACTGTTACCTTGCAAGGGACTGACCCAGGTTCAATCCTCGGCATCTCATAGAGTCTCCCAATCCTTGCCAGGTGTTATTCCTAAGCGCAAAGCTCAAGTCACACTTGAGTACCACTTGTGTGGCTCCAGACCCAAAGGACTAAAAAGAAAGAAAGAAAAACCTTAACAGCCAGATTATTAAAGCCTCCCCCCTTACCCAGCTCTACCATTGTTCCCTATAGGCCCCCAGAAAACCCTAATATCCAGTCGGTCTTATTAAAAATTGTGGGGGAAAAATCAGACTGTGTTGCCTCATCTTTCACTGCTATCTCAGATCTATTTTGAAACTTCCAGATCAGAAGACAGATCTACACATAATTTTGGAGAAGAGCAATAAAGAAGAGTAGCATGAGTGGATAAAAAGGCTCAATGTGGAATGAAACAAAGGATTTCTGTTATTCTTCTCATGCCCTCCCCAGAATCCAGGAAGGCCCTAAATAAGCTCTGGAGGGCAGGAGCTATGCAGGCTGAGTTCACAGAGTTTGACCTCCAAGCCAGTAATTCTTTCAAGGTCTAGATTGGATGGAAGGTCGGTGGGGACCTAGAGAAGTGGAAGAAAAGGTGTCAGTTACATTTTATTTATTTCCCAGGATTACTTAGCCCAGAATTTGCTGGATGACTCAGTACTGATTATGTGAATCACATAATCATATGTCTTTTTTTGTTTGTTAGTTTATTCAGAATTAAAGCCATTTTATTTGCTTATTTTATGTGTTGTTCGAATTGGATTAAAGGGAATAAAAAACATGAGTTTAATGAATTTACTTGTGTACAGGCCTTTTTAATTTATGTTAAGACTTGTTTCCGTCAAACCCCATTTTGCAGGCAATTGGAGGAATGAGTTCTGTGGTCAATATGGCTTCATGTTTGTTTGTTTTTTATTATTTCAGGTCTGTGTGGGGATGATGACTTCATTGCCCACAGCCCTGTTTGTGAGACTACACTAGATACTGTTTACTCCACTATGATCTGCGTTTATCTCTAGCATCCTTAATCCTATCTAATTTTCTGTCCTTCTCGCCAAGCAAATAAGTGAGATAATGGTTCAGCATAATTCCATTAACCCAAGAGAAGAAACAACTTATGAAAAAGCAGCCTTTCATATATTAAGAATAATACTATAGGTAGCAAGATGATAAGAATTTTCTAGAAGTCATAGCTATGTGCTTGGTAAGTAGGGGTATTAGCTGTTTGCATTTCAACAATAACTCAATTACTTTTTCTCTCTCCTTTTCTTCCTTTCTCTGTCTCTCTCCCTTTCTCTCTAGCTTTCTCTTTCTCTTCTTTTTTCCTCTCTATCTCTAAATTTCTTCAAAGGATCGACCCAGTTCTTACGACTTTAAGTTAGAAAATCTAACACTGTGGATATAGTATGTTGTCACCAAGTGTTAACCCATAATTTTATATTCACTCTCCTCTATGTGTCCAGAGATAGAGAGGTCAAATTTCTTCTATAGGATCATAGTTTTAAATGACTATGTTGGAATTCTAACCACACCTTGACCATGGAACATATGTTTTTAAGTACAGTCTTCTAGTAACCAACATTGCGAATCAAATCAGTGGAGGACTGTTAGCTTTTAAGACTTAGGCACCCTTATTAACTATTTCTAGCTTCATCACTTCTCAGCCTTTTGCAAGATCAAGAATAGATGTTTCTAGCTTCAGTGGAATGTTTCACATTTCCCTCCTGCTCTTCCTACTCCTCAAACTTTATTTTCTCACACTGAGATTTTATACCTCTAAGATACAGAATCATCTGTAAAAGGAGAATTGTTGCTGTTAAAATCATTCCTTTGTTAGTTTATTCCATGCTAATAAGTGACTGGCAGATGGGCAAGCCAAGATTCTTAGACCAGGACCAAATGCAAGAGATACAGATTGAGTTCAAAGTGAGACCAAAGGTGGCAGAAGACAATTTGTACAAATAAAGCATTTCCCAGAGATTTCCCATAGCAGATTTTCAGAATTTCTCAATGAGTGTGAGAAAGTCTTTAACGTTTTCCTTTTGTGTCAAAGTATATTAACCTTGAAGTTTTAGGGCTTCTCAGATGGCAAAAGAATGGATGCACAGCTTTTGAAGTCAATAAACGCCTGTCCTATAACTTTTTTAGGACTTGAGAATGGGATCAGAATAAAAATAAAATTTAACAAATTTTATTTTAAAATATATTGATGTACTGTGACTTATAATAGTATTGACAGTAATGTTTTAGTTTTACAGTGTTACTGCACAATACCCACTGCCAGAATGACAATATCCTTCCAAAACAATCCTTAGATCCCTCCTTGCCTAAACAAGGTGAAAGGTCCCTCCAACTCATAGCTGACAGTTGCAGCTTTGTTGATGGTATCTCAGGTTGACATACTT